ACTAGGATGGGCCTTTTAATGGCCGCTCCCCCCTCAGAATCCCAGAGCACCCCATGGCCCGTGGCAAAGGCTCGCTCTTCTGCAATGCTCCCAGGGCTCCCTGGGCCGCAGCCTGGCTGTGTCTTCAGCCACAAGTCTAGATCTGCAGGTCGCAATCCAGCCCCGAACCCACTGGGAGTCCCTGCCATGCCACAGCCTCTCATGCCTCCAAACCCTGATCCACACTCTTCCCTCTGCCCAGGCCCTGCTCTGGGCCCAGACCAGGCAATACCAACATCACAGCTGTTGGGGAGGCAGTAGGTGCAGTGGGCAACAGCCAGCTCTAAAGCTGGCTCCGAAGCCCAAAGGCACAGCTTTTAACCTCTCTCACCTCAGCAAGCTCCTCTGTCGAATGGTGTAACAGGACTTAGTTCGTGGGGTTTTGAAAGGATTAAATGAATTCCCAACACATGGGAAGACCCGTGACAGTGCCCATCACGAGTGAATGCCCAGAGTGTGCCCACATCAGTGGTGTTGCTGTTGGTGTGTCCACCGTAGGGAGAGCTGGGCACCTCATCTGCCAATAGGAATAATCACTGTTTATAAGAATTATATGCATGAAACATGTAAAGTGTTAGCACAGACCTGGCAAGTGTTGTTTGTTATTCTTATGATCCTTGAATGCCCCGTGCCCTGGAAGGAGTGCCCTGGGGCAGGCTGTAGACCAAGACACCACCTGAGCTGTCCAGTCCCTTTGTCTGCACTCGCAGCCCCGGAGCAGAAACCTCTGCGGGGAACCTCTGCTGTGACCGTGGCTGCCTTCCCGCCCTGACTCCCCAGCACCAGCCCCAGTCCCAGCACCACCACCCACAACTCCACAGCTTTGGGGAAGCAGTTACATCACGGAAACATGGGGTGGCCCCGCTTTCCAAAAACTCATTCTGCAAAAACCAAACATTAAGAAAAACTATGTATAGTGTGCTGGCAACGCGGTTTGTATCATAAAGTCAATTTCTTTAATGTATCAATGAATAACCCAATCAATCCACCGGTCACTTTGGTTTCACGGGTCACTAACGACTCGCTTCACCCCATTAGAACAAAGTCCATCCCTCTGAAAAGGACGGAGGGATGATAAAACGGCAGAGTGCACTGTGCAGCCCCAGTGAACGGCTGGGTCTAGGCTACCGACTTCACAAAAGCGAGCCGGGCAGAGGTGCGCCTCCTGAAGGAACAACCTGGTGCCACAGGTGCATTCTGGCCGAAGAAAGAAGGAAAAACGAATCCTACATTTGATCGAACTGCTAATTTACTTAACTGATAGGGACTCCAAAGAACAGAAGACAATATTGAACTATACCAAGTGGACACAATCAGCAAAAATCCCAACTGTGGAAACTCTACAGGACTTGTGACCCAGTTTCCTCCAACAAATAGCAAGAGCGAAATAAAGATGGAGAGGGAATCTTACCGACGGAAGAGATTTAATGACTTACCCATCAACTGCGATGTGTGGGCCTGACCTGGGTACTGAATACAACAAATGGGAAGTAAAGGTATTTATAATATTTGTGAGACAACAAGATATTTGAACACTGGCTGAATATTTGATGATATTAAAAATGTTGAATGCTAACCAAGAGTTCTTATCTTTTAAACTGAAAAAAATATTGAAATATTTATGGCTGCATTCATATTCCACATGGCACATGCTTTAAAATCATATAGAAGGAGGGAGGTGGGTGGGGATGTGGATGGGCCAGCTTGGCCAGGGTGGGGGTGCTGAGTGCATGGGGTCCATTGTACTGTCCTAATCTACTTATCTCTGTGTGTTCCAAACTCTCCATATGAAAAGTCCATAAAGAAAAGCAGCTCATAAACATTCAGTATGCCTGTCTTCTGCCTCCCCAGGGCCAGCATGTCGGGTGAGTCATTCCTGGTTCTGGCATGCTCTCCGAGTCTTCCATTTAGGAAAGGGGCAAGTCTAGTCTCCTGGGTCAAGAAGTGATCCAGGGCCTGGCAATATTGGAGAATAAAACGTTGGATAGGTGAATTCTCTGATCCACAAGAAAATCTAATCTTAGACTAAAGGTAGGTTAACTGGAAGTGATTCACATTTCAAAAGATTTGGTTTAAATATAGCAAACATTGCCCTAGCCGGTTTGGCTCACTGGATAAACCATCAGCCTGTGGACCAAAGGGTCCTGGGTTCGATTCTGGTCAAGGGCATGTACCTCGGGTGCAGGCTCCTCCCCGGCCCAGGCCCTGGTTGGGCTCGTGCAGGAGGCAACCAATCGATGTGTTTCTCTCACATCTATATGTCGCTCTGTCTTTCCTTCTCTCTTCCACTCTCTCTAAAAATCGATGGAAAATATCCTCAGGTGAGGATTAACAACAAAAATAAATAAATATAGCAAACATTTTTGAAAATATGGCTTGATTTACAACAGTTGGCAATTCCATAAGATTACTTCTAATGCACTAGCCAGGTGATGTTCGCTGACTGGTCCTGAGAAATTCAGCAGCTGTTCACCTGGTAACTGCATGGAAGAAACCTCAATGGCACCCCAACCCTGAGGACACAAGTAACTAAGAGCTCCCACCTGCCCTCTTAGCTTGTTTCCAAATCACCACCTGTCCAGCCTCCCCTTCCCAATGGTCAGTGCCGCCCAGAGCAGATCCCAGTGACTGGTTCCCACGGAACTCTCTGCCACTGTGAGAGACAGCGCAGCCGTGTGGAATTTCCTCTGTGGACCCCCTCAGCCTCGCCCGATCCGGGCGGCAGGGCAGCCTCCTGGGTCTGCAGCTCCCACCGGCAGAAATGCACCCAGAGAAGGCTTGTCCAGGGCCCTGGGGGCCACCTACCCATGCAACTGGATACATACACTTTGTAAGCACTGGTTTCCAACAGATAAGTGTAATCAAGGTTTATATGCTCAGAGAAGCCAACAGGATGGGATTGTTTCACTTGAAAGATCAGAAGAAAATTGTAACTAATGTTGTGGAAAATTACTTTGATATTGCTTTCTTGGTACCGAATCACAATTAGGCTGCTGTGAGAAGTACAGGGAAAGAATAAATGAATAGTAACAAATCAGCACAAACAGCCTGTGTCAGGAACACTTTGCTCAGGGAAAGTAATGTAAGCATTATTTAAAGTTCTACGACTGTGTTTGATGTGCTTTACGTAGAGTGTCAAGGCTGTCCGTCACCTGGCATGTGGCAAGGGGGGTTCAGTTCCATTTACAGCCAGAAGAACACGGCTCAGGACCCAAGAGTGCTCTTCGCCTGCATCTGCCAGGCCCACGAGGTCCATGGCTACAGCTTCCTTCCATCTTTCACACCCAGCCAGCCTGAGCCTTCCCCACACCCCACTCACCACTTCACCCTAGAAATCCCAGCCACCACACCCAACTCCCCCCAGGAATGTAGCACCTGCCCCTAGCGTGTACCACAGATGGGTGCATGGCACTGTCCCAGCTGGACATCGGCCATGAGGACCCTCTGCCTGTATGTGCGCCCCCACACCACACACACACACACACACGCACACACACACACACACACACACACGCATCAAGGATGTGCGGTGCTTCACCCCAGGCTGTGTTTGGGGGCCTCTCAGCAGGAGCTCACTTCCTCCCAGATAATACACACCGTGGGGCCAACTCTGTCCGTCCTGATGGCGTGGGGCCCGATTTGGCTGACAGAGTCGCTACCCACGAGGCTGCAAAGTCCCCATAGAGGAGCCAGCTTGGTCACATGTCCTTGCTGGGGAGCAGCCAGACCCACTTGTGACAGCCACCATCTGTGAGGGTCCAGCCAGGCGTGAGTCAGCACAGTGACTGGCTGCCATCTCCTGGGACACACAGTCTTGGCTGCCTCTCACTCACTCTCTGTGATGAGAGAATCAACTCATAGGCACTCCCTGCCAGGGCCTCTGGTAGCAGCTGCCAAGCCCAGGGCCCTAACTCTGGCCTGCTCGTGCTCCTCTTGCCTTCCCACCTACTGCCTACAGGCCCACACTGCCCTGAGAGTGTGAGCCAGCCCGGGCTGAGGGTGGCTGGGGAGGAGGCTGCCCGCCTAAGGGCCAGGTGCCCCCAGGCCGTGCTCCGCCCTCCCGTGCTGTGTGCTGCTGGCGGGGATGGCGCAGGGACCTTCTGCCTGAGCCCCCAGCCTCCACTCCTCCTCCGTGTTGCCCCTGTCCCAGAGCACACCGCCCATGGGTGTCTTCATGGCCCTCCCCTAATAAGGCCCAGGACCACTGCTGAGAGACGCCAGGCTCCGGGCCTGGCAGCGGTGCTTTCCTCTCATTCCAAAGCAGAGCGACCCTGGCCTTGGCCCTGTGCCTGCTGCCCTCCGACCCTGCCGTGTTCTCTGGGGCAGGGGCTGTGTCCCACAGGCAGGAACCTTGCCCGAGCTCCTCTCTCCACATCCCATCTGCCCAAGGCTCCAGAACCATGTGATCTGCTCTTTCCTCACTGTCCCCAGCGGACCCCTGCTAGTCAGTGAGGGTTTGCCCCTTCAGTGGGTCACCAGGGACAGGTGGGGTAGGAGGCAGCAGGTGGGACACCAGCAGGAGCAGTCTCAGCCTCAGAAAGCCAGGAGGTACCCTATCCCTCTGCCCAGGCCAGAGGGGCTAGATTCAAGGGGTCCCAGGGTTGGGCAGAGAGAGTTCCATTTGGGCGCATGAGTTCAAGGAGAAATCATGCACCCTCTGATGTCCCAGATCCTGGAAGAGGTCCTAAGAGGTGGCAGAATCCTCCTTAAATCTGAGTTTCACCAAAGGCAACAACCAGCTGAGAGATGGTCAGCCTGGCCATCATTCCCAAAAGGAGTGCAGAGGCCAAAGGTCAGAGGTCAGAAGCCAGACCCCTAAGGCTAGTAGTCTAACATCAGACAAAGTGTTCCCATGTTGAGGCTGATGCCCGCCAGGAGGAGGCTAGGGGGTCTAAGCACAGATCTGGCACCAGGGCAGCCTTGGAGGGCAAGCGGGCGGCGGGGCCAATGTGAGGGCTCACCTGGCACCTGCTGGGAGGTGAGCTCCGTGGAGTCCTGCAGGCTGATGAAGAGGAGGAGGCCCGCGGCTCCGAACAGCAGGATGGATGAAAACATGCAGGCCAGCCGCATCGTCCCGGCACGTGGGGTCATCTGGGCCTTGCTCTGGGGTCACCTCTTGGGTGTGAGAGGCGAGTTCTTCCCTCATTGTCTACACCAGGTGTCCATCAGGCCACAGTCTACAGGGCAAAAGGGGAGAAAGATGGTCCATCACCACGGCACAGGGCCTCCTGGGCAGCTGAGGCCCCAGTCACTGCACGTGACCGAGTGTAATCCCTGAAGCCTTCAGCCCTTCGGAACTCAGGTGTGTCCCTTCCACCTTGCAAGCCCAAGGAGGTCCAGTGACCACCTGAAGCTGGGACAGCAGCTCCCCTCCAGGGCCTCCTGTATTGGCACCCCCAGAAAAACCATGGAGAGAGACACACTCTGGCCTCTGCCTGGAACAGCCCAGAGTAAGGCCCCAAGACCCAGAGCCAGGCACAGTGGCCACCCACCTACACTGTCCAGACTCTCTGAGCCTCTAAACAAGCACACTTGCATGCCATGGTGAGTTCTAGGTACAGATAGGAATCCAGGTCCTTGTCCCTTGCAACTGACCCGGCGGACAGTGAAGGCCTCAGTCTCCTCTGCCCTGGCCCCTCTCTATGAGATATTCGGGATAGGTGTCCACAGGGCAAGAGGCTTTGAGAAGGGGCCTCCCAGGCCCAGAGGATGTCAGGGAAAGACTGACGCCCCCACCTGGCCATTCACCACCAGCCAGAGTTGCCCTCCTGACAGACTTGCTGGGTGGGCTGGTGGGACTGTGGACAGTCACACTAGTGGAGCTGAAGCTCTGGCCAGATCATGGTTGTCTCCAATCTTGAGGCCCTCAGGCCTGGGGCAGGGCAGCCAGACCCGAGTCTGACTGACCCCTGGCTCAGAGGCTGGGCCACTGCAGACCCAGAGTCTGCATGTAACTTGCCCCTGACCTTGGTTCCTCCTGAAGGGGAAGAAATTCCAATACCAACCAGTGACTCCAGTTGGGCCAGGATATGGGTCAACGATGGGGCAACCCAAGGCCATCTGCCTAAAGGAAGGGTGCCAGTTCCCGCAGTGGGGCAGTGTGGGTGCTGAAGAGGAGTCCGCACAGGAGGCTGTGCCAGACGGGCAGGTATCCCAGCACCTCCCCTTTGAAAGAGAGTCACTTTGTCCCCCAACTTTCTCCAGTTCTTACCAGCCTGGGCCCAGGGACACCACTCTCTGACCACCCAAGGAGCCCTGGCTTCCCCCATCCTGGAACAAGGCAGTGCCCGAGGGGGGCTGAGCCAGGTGGACAGCTCCCCGTGGCCTCTGAGACCACAGGTGAGTGGCTGGTTGGGCCCCAGACCAGACATGGCTCAGCACAAGGACCTTCCCCTGCTCGGAGCAGGAAACTCATTCCTGACTGGACACCCAGGCACTCCAGCAGGAAGTCCCAGCTATTGTCCCCTCTGCATCCAGCCTGTGGGCATGAGGCAGGCAGTGATAAGAAAGAAGCCCTCCCTTCCCCTGCCCAGACCAGAAAGGCCTGCACTGTTCTGAGAAAGCTCTGGGGCTGAGGAGTGTTAAATTACAGGTTTGGGTTTCTCCACACTGCAGTCTCTGTAATTATTTTTTCACTCAGTTAACTTTAATTAACCTGCCCCAGGCCTCTACGCATGAGGAACGCGCTGGATCTTGGGTTCTCTGGGCTGTGCTGAGCAGGTGGTTCCCACGACCTCCCAGCTCTTTATGTTTGGGAGGAAGCGTAAAGCTCTGCTCTGTTTCTGGCTCTGGCTCTGGGGTTTCAGGCTGGCCCCAACCTCAGGGGAAGACTGCTGCTTCCTGCCATCCCCAGGGACACCCTGCCCCAGGCTTGCAGTGGGTGAAAATGGGCAGCCACAGCCCCCGTCCCCAAGGCTCAGACCCTACAGTCCTTCATGTGGGGCCATGGCCTCCCCCTCCGTGGCTGCCCTCGGTCTGACTGTCCTGGGGACCAGGGCAGACCCCAGGCTGTGTTGAAGAACAAGGCCACTCTCAATGCTGTGGACTCCCAGGCACTGCTTGCAGGGCCCACTAGACCTTGCATGTGGGGCCATGCCTCCCCCTCCGTGGCTGCCCTCGGTCTGACTGTCCTGGGGACCAGGGCAGACCCCAGGCTGTGTTGAAGAACAAGGCCACTCTCAATGCTGTGGACTCCCAGGCACTGCTTGCAGGGCACACTGGGGCCAGCCCTGAGGTCCAGGGGAAGTGTGAGCCACGGATGGGGGAGGTGGAGCTATTTTCTCCCACTCTCGCTCTGCTTCTTATCTCTAGCAATTGGATTAACCCCTTGAAATTGCCAGGCATCACAGAAAAGAGTTGAAAGAGTGGGGATGCAGTGGAGACAGGACACATGCACTAACACATATACACACACACCTGCACGCACACTGGCGAGCACCTGTACACCCACACCACTGACGGTCCCCAGCAAGAACCCAGCTTTGAGGAAATGGCCACAAAGCCCTGACTATGCTGGTCATGGTGTTGGCACACATTCTGCGGCCACACGGGCCTCCTGAGTCTGACACGAGGCCAGGAGGCCAATCTGATCTAGGGTGACCTCTGACATCAGGACATTTTGTAAGGAAGGAGAGCGAAGGACAAAGAAAAGGGGGGAAAAAGGACGGCAAGTTTATGGCTAAATGTGCTTGGAAAATAACTGATAAAGTGCCACCCAACCTCAGCCCAAACACTCCGTTTGATGAAAAAGGGGGACTCGGACGCCCCAGTGATCATCATCGCATTGTCTGGACAGTAGCTGGTGCTGCAGAAGTGACTGCAGAAGAACTGGTCAGTCCCCTCTTCTCCGCAATCTGCCACATTGACTTCCCCTGTCCTGCAGCCATGACCCGCCCTCATTTGTTTCTGAACTTGCCCAAATCAGCCCACCATATGCAGCTGGGCTCTGGCAGCCCATGAGCCTGGGAGCCTGGATGAGGACCACATCCCAGCCCCCAAATCTGGGGGAGAAGAGGACGAAGCCTCAGCATCTGCGCCTTCACTGTGGCAAGAGCATCAACCATTCAGATTTCTCTTTTCAGAGACCCTTCCCTTTGTTGGCTCCTGAGAGACTACAGGCACCTTCTCCATGCCCAGGGAGGGAGTTAGAGCCGAGCATGGCTTCCCCTGCCCAGCCTCTAAGCACCCGACCCTCCTGTCAGTGTTTGCTCTCCCTGGAGACCATCTGACCAGCTAACTCCCTGCTCCATGCAAACGGGAACCAAAAGGTTAGCATGTCTCCCCTCCCAGGTGACTGTTCAAAGTCTGCTGGGTCTCAATGCCCCAGGAGGGGGCCAACATCACAGAATCAGTAAGATTATTTCTTTAAAGGTGGAGGGGTAGATGGGAGGTCATCATGACACCACCAGACACTCCAGAGAGCATGCACAACTGGTCCCCTATTGTTCCCCTAAGGGTCCTGGTCTTCAAAGTCACAGCTTATTTTCAAGGCAACAGGGAGATGCTGGTCCAAAGGCTGTTTGTCTCCTCCTGGAGGTTGTGGAGGCTAGGATCTGTCACAGGCACGGCCAGGTTGCCCAGGCCCCATAAACACGTTCGCAGGCCCACCTGGGCCTGCGGCCTCCTCACCATGCACGGCATCAGCCTCAGTTCCGACGACAAATGGAAAACCCTCTCTATCTCCCTGCCTCCCTTCCACCACCAACAGACAATAAGAAAACTCAAATAACTGGGAGCAGAGTGGGAAGGAGTAAGGCAAGGAAAATAAACAGCCCACTGAGCTTCCAAAAGGTCCTGCCCTCATCACAATTCCTAGAACTCCCAGCGGCTCCTCTTCCTGACACCTGAATGGCGTCGCCGATTTTTACTGTGAGAAAAAAAATCCAATTAATCTTGTAAACACCTCCTGGGACACAGGGCAGGGCCAAGGATTCCTCCCATTTCCTTATTTATCTGATTTAAACATTGTCTCTTCAAAAAATTCACTTCAGGGCACAAGCAAGAACTTGGGAATTCAGCCAAAAAAAAACCAAACACGCACCTCCAGTGGCGATGGCCCGGCAGGCGATGAACGGATGGCTCCAAGGACACGCTTGACTGCGGCTGCTACAAGGCCTGGATGCTTCCCCCAGCCCCCCAGAGGACCACTTCTGGCTGTGGGGACCCACCCCACACCCCAGTGGAAGCAGCAGGAGGCATCCGAGCACATGCCCATGGGTGCACCCACTTGGTGTGCGGACCCTGGGCTGGGAAAGTTCTCTGTCCAGTCGGTGTCCTCCTCGAACAGGCAGGAGCGAACAATGACGTCCCTCCCTCCCAGCTGAGGGCTCCAGGAGAAGCTCTCATTGAGAGAGAGAGGCTGCTATGGCAACTTGAGGAGAATGGAGCCAGGCACTGCCGTCACCTTGAATCCGGCACCAAGCATTAAGCCCTGGCGGCTGAGGGGCCAACCTTGGCTCTGCCCCTGCCGGGCGCCGGCCGGGGCGACACTGGGACTGACCTCTGCTTCCCTCCTCAGCCTTCTGGCCTCAGAAACTCATTTGCTGCTTGCTGAAAAGGAGCACACAGCCCAGTCCCCTGAGAGCACCACCTCCATCTGTTTCGTCAGACTTCTTCCATGTGTGCAGCTCCGGCTTTACTTCTGAGATGGGGTTCTTCTTGATTTCAGATCATTAAAATCCTGAGCTAATTAAAACCGCTCTAATGGCAGCGGCGCCGGCAGCAAACTCCAGGACGAATCCCTCCAGTTTTTATGCACAGGCATAAAGTTGCAAGGCTCTGCGAAGATGACTAATGGCTGGAAGGGCTGGGGGTCTAGGACGAGGTTTCAAGCTAGAAATAGCTCCTGCCCTTCCTGTGAAGTGGGGCACAGAGGGGGCGCTGACCAGGGTCCTGAAATAACCAGGACCCAGCCCAGTCAGATGCCTCTTAGGGCAGGAAATACGACAGCCATCCACCTCCCTGTTACAAGGCAAGGGATTACCTTCAATCCCTGCTTCCTGCAGTGGGGAGAAGGGAGTCCTAAGGCAGAGGCAGAGGTGTAAATCAGGCCCAAACAGCCCCAAAGTCTTGTCCCACGTCCCAGCTTCCCACAGTTGCTTATACAAAGAGGCTGAGGGGAAGCCTGAAAATACACAGCTGTGTCAAGGGGGTCCTTGAGACTCTGCCAAGGTGCCACAGGCTGCAAGGCCCTTGACAGCTGTTGGGGGTAGAAACACACCATAAATACCACCTCTGCCCAGGACTTCTTACATTTTCAGGGCATTTTATGCCAATGGGGCAGGGTAGGGGATAGTAATTCTGCAGGTAGAGAAACCGAATCCCTCCCCACCGCCACCCTGCAACGTCTGGAATGGTCAGTGCCCCAAATTGTGTCCCTCAATGACAGCCCTTCCCTCATAGCATGGAGAGCGTTTACCCGCTTGTCTCAGAGCCTGGGGAGCAGCGTTGGGGGCTCCCCTCGTGTTTGCATTCCCAGCATCGCTACACAGTGCCTGGCATGGGAAGGTGATCAATAACCTCTGCTGCATGCTGAGCGAGCATGAGTTAATAGATGGAGGTGTTTGGGCCATGTGGAGAGAGGGACTCCATGGACCTGGAATTTTAAAAAGGTCATTTATGTTTCAGGGAGCTGTGGGTTTGTTTTTATCAGGTCTGGGTTAGAATCAGGTCTGAACTGCAGCCCAATCTTATGAGAGAAGAGGCAAGGAAGTGAGCTCCACGAGGGAGCCCAACAGAACCTGACAGCTCCGAAATACTGAATGCACACTCCCTGCGAGGGCAGCACTGTGTGCCCTCACGGGGCTTCAAGACTAATTAATATACTTGCAGGGGAAAATGTTGACTATACATACATTTACATTGACACATGTGATATATGCACAAACAAATATACAAGGCATTTAAATGTCATAATATGGATTATCCCTAAATGTACAGTATTAAGTTGGGAAATACCCAAACAAAATTACAGTTTGAATATATTGACCAAAAGTCAATGAGAGCAACACATGCATGCTTTGAGGATATTTGCTGTGTGAAACTAGCCAGTCACAATACTGCATGACTCCATGTGGTCAAATTCAGAGACAGAAAATAGAATAGTGGTTACCAAAGGCTTCAGGGGAGGGAAGAATGGGGAATTATTAATTAATGGGTCCAGAGGTTCTGCTGGGGAAGATAAAAAAAAGTTCTGGAGATGGATTGTGGTGGTGGTTGCACAACAATGTGAATGTACTTAATGCTTAAATATGGTTAAAATGGAAAATTTTACATATATATTTTATCACAATTAAAAAATCAATGAAAGCAAATGGAAGACTGACACTGAGCAGAAACCACTCTCTACTGTTAGTCTCACTCATCCCACAGGCGCTGGGAGTGGGCCCAGGAGCTGAGGAGGACCAGAGTGGTCCAGTGCATGACCATGTGAAGCATGACCAGGACACGGGGAGCTGAGTTTGCGGCCCGGGAAGCCGAACAAGCAGCAGGTGCCATGAGATGGATATGTGCTCAGAGTGGGGTGTGTCTGACTGTCCTTCCAGCCAGGCACACCCCAAGATTTGATTTTCCTAATCTCAGAATCAGTCAGCATCCAAAATATCCACTGTGGATGCGTTCCCAAGTTCCCTGCAACTCTGGTGTGAGACACACGTCTTAGAGAACAGAAAGGCACCTTGTCAACTTCATTTGCATGAGGCCACTTTCAGGCAGAGCAGGTGGCCTCTGGTGAGGCTATCCTTCACCTACACCCTTGTCACAAATCTGGGTCACTGCTGGGCCCCTGTGGATCAAAGCTGCCAAGCTGTCTCTCTTTGAGACAACTTTGTCTCTGTGGAGGGAGCAAAGGCCCATAACGCAAGTGTCAAACTGTAAATTGTG